ATAGGAGGTCCTCTGAAAGGGCTGAATCGCTCTCCGATGCTGCGGACCACTGTGCTGAAAACTCTCAGCAGGGCTGCCAACTTGGGCAACGACACTGAGGGAGGGGGGATATCTTCATCGAGCACCTCTCCTGAGACCACGTGGCTCAGATCCTAAAGAGAGCAAAGAGTCAGCAAAGAGACAAACATATTTAATCTTTATTATCTGGTAAGAGAATCCAATTTTATACCATCAAGGATCTTTGAGGGTTTCCAGTCTGAGCATAAACTGGACCCAAACACACTGGCTCCAGCTTGTTGCACATTTAAATAAAGCCTACTGAGCAGCATAAGGTGCAGTGAAGTCTAGTGACTTAAATTTAGCTGATCTACAACAGACCGCCCGTCAGGTCAGGACCACAGCGAGTCTGAGCTTCAACATGGCTCATTCAGCACAGTCCTGAGGTTTGGGCTTTTTCCAACAGTACTTGTGCTCACTCTGCACCATACTTGCCAGTACTGAGCACAGCTGAAGACCTAACATACATCGTTCAAGTACAAGTGGTCAGACCGAACTGCCAGGGAGGGAGCAGCTTACAGGTGACACAGAGAGCACCTGGGACACGGGCCAGGTTAAACTCTGCAGGTAGCTGGCTGCTTCTCGTCACTGCACCTTCTAAATAAGTATAACTGGCTGAGAGGCTCGGTGACGTCACCTCGGCATATGCTTCCATATCCTCCAAGAACTGTCCCAGCAACGTGGTGGAGAAGGTCAGGTCGGCCACCCAAAACTGCTCCAGGCTCTGTAACCAGGCTAAGCACAGACAGGGAGAGCAGAGCTGCAGGTGAACGAGCTGAACTGCATTTATGTTTGCACATCAACCCACCCATCCAAACATGTTACCCACCCATCCAAACGCGTTCACCACCCATGCAAACGCGTTCCCCACCCATGCAAACGCGTTACCCACCCATGCAAACGCGTTCCCCACCCATCCAAACGCGTTCCCCACCCATGCAAACGCGTTACCCACCCATCCAAACGCGTTCCCCACCCATCCAAACGCGTTCCCCACCCATGCAAACGCGTTCCCCACCCATGCAAACGCGTTACCCACCCATCCAAACGCGTTACCCACCCATCCAAACGCGTTACCCAC